GAAAGTGTGTATGAAATATAAGACAGATATAAGAAAGAATATAAGAAGATAGTGATATCTAATTTCCTTTTTGCGCATGCTATGCAGCGCTTCATTGAAATACTGATCTATGGACAAATTGACATAGCGCAAGCGATACGTAAATATCTTCTATTCGTTTGAAAAATGAAGCAAATATCTTTTTATATTCGACATCCTATGAAGTCTTTAGATCATTATAATGTATTTTAATAGAAACAAGCGTCCAGGTTTTATATTCAACAAAAAAAAAATAGTAATGATAATAACATTTTAAAAAAAAACACTAACGACGAGAGAAACAATAAGATATCGTTTTGTATGGGAAATGTGATGATCACATATTTACATCAAAACAATAAGTTAAACTACTGACGATCATATCTCGAATCGCCTAGAATAAGTAAAAGGCGTAATTCTTTTATAAAATACTCATAACAACAGACTATTCTATAAAAAAACATCAAAATGAGTTTAAAATTTATTTACTACTTGATTTTGATCGATATCTTCTTGATCGTCTTGTATGACTATGTGATCGTGATCGTGATCTATTTTGATTTCGATTTCGCCTTAGTGATTGTGGTGATCTACTACGTCTATAACCGTTATCACGGAATGCACGAGATGAATCCAAGTATAATTCGACATAACGATTACCTTAAAGAAAAACAAAGCTCGTTTAACCGTATTAATTAATGAGTCATATTCACATCCTGATGAGATCGTCACATCTCGGTACTATTTTCTTGCCTTTCGTCTATACAATAAACGCATTCGTACGGCCACTCACCAGGATGTGAATATAGTTCATTATTATTTCAAAATCATCCATTTTTAGACATATAGCACTGAACTCTTTATGAAAACTTGTTTATTCTCAATGAAACAGTCTCTAATTTAGAAATCCCGATGGCTATACAGATGATCAGAATTCAATTTACTGAGACCATTGATAGTCATTGATTACATACGTATAGAAAATTCATGGACTTATGCACAGTGTGTATTTTTCTCTGGACCAAGCGAACATGTGGTTTTTTAATTCAAAAAGTGACTATTTTTGCTCACTACTACGTTTGAAATGTTATTGTAAATTAGAAAAACCCAAATTCGGAAAAAAAATGTTTTTAGACGACAGATCGCTGAGACTCTAATTTCTTGTCCAAAAAATTTGTTATTCAGAAAATGGAAAAGTTATACGTTAGTCGATGTGGTTTTATGCGCTGATTTCAAATATGAAATTATTTTTCAATAAAAATGTTTCTGAGTTGTGAAAAATGGATTTTAACTCAAAAGCTTGAAAAACCCTTATTTAAGTTCAAACTAAAAAAACGCATGCATCATAGATGCAGCGTATGTCGACGAATATTTCAGCAAATTCTCATGCACTTTGAAGATTGGGAAAATGTGGGAAACTCATTCTACTTTATCCAGCTTTTCAGAAACACCGTCAGTTCGGACAATAATTTTTTTTATTAAAGGCTAGATAAAACATTTAAATAGTCTGTAAATCAAAGTATGTTAGACACTATTTGAATTCTGAAAAAGCACACTTTCGATTTTTTGCCAAATGTCCGCATGGTTACCCACTGTGTTATGTACACTACTTACCAATATATTTTTGATCAAATTTTAATGCTTCTTGTGCATCATTCTCTGTGTTAAAATAAGCTAACGCATCACCATTTGGACGATTTGTTTCACGATCACGAAATATATCAATGGATGATGGTTCACATAATGAAGAAAAAAACTAGAACAAAAACGGAGTATACTTAGTAAAAATCGTTCATGTTAGATTATGCTTAACTCTAATAATTAAAATGTTTAGTATTTTAAAAAATCAACAGAGAGACAATTGTATTCTTTTAGAAAACCTCTACTATAAAAATAACAAAACATACTTTTCTAATATCATTTTCAGTGACACGAAATGGTAAACCACGCATTTTAACAGCATATTTTCGAGGTGAACGAGACAATGAACGGCGACGATCTGGACTACGACTACGACTTTTATGTAATGGACTACGACTACGACTTTTATGTAGTGGACTACGACTGCGACTTTTATGGGGTGGACTTCGACGATTATTGTTACGTATTCGTGGTGACGAAGTTCGACGTCCTTGACGATCTTCAATGATAAACAAAAGTGATAATAGAAGAATCAAAATGAATTCTATTGTGCTTTCAATAACATAATTAATTCAAATTGATGGAGATGGGTGGACAAAGTGTCTAAGAACGAATTGACGAATCGCAATTTTTAAGCGTAAAAATGATGCCACAATTCGCATTTTACGGTTATTTTGAGAATTCGCAGCGAATTGATACGAACTGTATCGAATTCGTACGCATACTCCTAAAAACTTTTATGAATTCATCTTACAAATTCGTAAACATTCGAATAGATCAAACACGATGCTGATCAATTCGCAAATAATTCGTAAAATTAGTTTACGAATTAGTGTTCACTGCTTTTAGAACTAGATTAATGCGTAAATACGAATTAGCGAATTCGTATTACAAACTGATGGAGCGGCTGAAAACGGATACTACCAATATCAATTCGTCGCTATTTTTACCAATTCGTAAAATGCGAAGTGATGTCAAGGTCAAGAAGCATTTCTATGAGGTTAAAAATAGATAGATTCGTCTCTTCGCATCGGTCCGCATAGTTCTGGCATCAATTCGCCGTTATTTTTTACGAATTCTCAAAAAACTGACTGAAATACAGCGAAATACGTTTGCCTTGTTGTGTAAACACTCACAGCCATCCTCGCAAAATTTCTTGTCCTTGATATCAATTCGCATTCTCTGAATTCGTAAATAAGAGCGAATTGATATGAGAAGTATGCGAACTGATGCGAAGAGACGAATCTATCTATTTTCAACCTCATAGAAAAATTCCTAAACAATAAAATACGAATTTACGCCTTCTATTTATGAATTCGTCGGATATGCTTGACGAATTGATGTCAAGGACAAGACACATTTCTATGAGGTTAAAAATACATAGATTCGTCTCTTCGCATCAGTCCGCATAGTTCCGGCATCACTTCACCGTTATTTTTTATGAATTCCCCCAAAACTGACTGAAATACAGCGAAATACGTTTGCCTTGTTGTGTAAATACTCACAGCCACCCTCACTGCTCCCCTCCCCCGCGCATGCATACAAAAAGAAGAGCGATTTCTATCTATTTTTTTTCACGAAAAACTATCGACGAATTGATGAAAGAATTGAACGAATCGAAGTGAAGAGATGATTCTTTGTTTTTTTAACCTCATAGAACAATTTCTTGTCCTTGATATCAATTCGTAAAAGTAACGGCGAATTGAAGCGAAGAGACGAATCTATCTATTTTTCAGGACCGCAGTCAGGGGGTAGGCAAACAGGGCACGTGCCCACCGCTTGATATTTTACTTCAATGTATAATATACACTAAATAGGTGATAAATGCTGTGTGGAGATAAAACGCAAGAAAAAGTGCTCGACCTAGCTTTAACATGGAAATTCAGACTGGTAAAGATGGAACTTTTTTGTAGATGCCCACTCCTTACCAACTTTCTGACTACGGCCCTGCTATTTTTAATCTCATAGAAATGCTTCTTGTCCTTGACATCAACTCGTATTTTACAAATTCGTGAAAATAACGGCGAATTTACGAATTCCTCGGATATGCTTTGGCATCTACGAATTCGTAAATTCCCTTGCCAATTTACGAATTCTTGAGGACCAAAAAGATCATTTCACGAATTCATCAATAGTTGATCGATTCGATTTTATGAATTAGTGAGTACCCGAAATTTCTCGCCTACGAATTCGTCCCAGTTTACGAATTGGCAAGAGAAACAAAAGAGGCACCTTTTTGATTATTTTTTCATCATTTTTGTCAGTTCGCATGGAATTACGAATTCGCAAAACAATGGCAAAATGCGAATTATTATATCATTTTTACGCTCAAATATTGCGATTCGTCAATTCGTCTTTCGACACTTTGTCCACACTAATGAATTGATGTATGTTTTTCTATATTTTCTCCCTCAAATGTAAACGAGTTGTAATTTGAAATTGAATCATTTTTTTCTTTGACTAAACACATAGATTTTATGCAGGGGAAAAAAATGGATACTATTGTTCTCAAAAATCCTTTCGGATCTGAGAAACGCAATTTACTATACAATCGTTAATCAATGATTATTTAGAAATTGACGAATGTACTATCGTACCTTGGCTTCTTGCTCTTGAGCTTGTTCTCGATCTTCTTTCACTTCTTTCATTTTCTCTTCTTAGAAAATGTTTTGCCCCCTTAAATCTTGATGAATTTGAGCCAGCATCTTTAACAATTCGTTGTCGAGCTTCTTCGTATGTACTTGGATAAATTTCAATATATCTTTAAAGCAAAAATGAATAATAATCAACAAAGAAAATAGAATTGAACAATCGATAACTACTACTACGACTACACACACATTAATAACATCACGTTAAGACTACCTCGATCAACACCCAATATGTTAACTTCTCCACCTTTTGTGTTAATTTTAATCCCCGTCCGCCCGCACCCTTTCCCAAGTCTACCAGCACCAAAAGTAGTCATTTTGTATCCCTGTCTACGTGTCTAAACAAAATTGTGCACGGTATTTTCCGCCTTTCACCTGTGTCCAATTTGTTTTCGATTTATGTCCATCGCTTCATATGCATTATCCATATTTGTGAAGGCGACAAAACCATCTCCTGTAGCTTGTTCTTCAGAATCACGTACAATATACACACCATTTTTTGATATATCAATGCCTATGAATAAATAAACATAATTTTAGTCAAGATTATTAAGAGACAGATCAATGAACGCACCATCAAAGAGTTCTTGAATATCCAGTGTTGAACATCGATAAGGTAAACCACGCATACGAACAACAGGTTCTCGCCATGATATTATCCCATTATGCTTAATATAAAAATTGTATTCAGCATTTTTAGCACGAAATACTAAAATAAATAACAGATATTAAGTCAAAGCAGGTAACAGACAGTTAAAATTTGAGTATGCTGTCTAAGGTCTTGTGACAAACAAATTTCTTTATTTCGTTGATCCTAATCGCAAGTCGGCTAAAACGTGTACCTGTCACCCTCAGCTGCCGTTTTTTTCGCTTAGTTTGATAGAGGGCACACGATTGCATAAGGTTCCGTGCAAATCAAATTTATAGAAGTCTTTTTATCGGTAGAAATATAACGATAAAATTCACTGCAAAAGAAAGAAAAAAAATGATGTAATTCCGTCACGGAGCCATTTCACTTGTTTCCTTTCATTTAAGCATTTCTAAGTGAAAGTAAATAGATGATTCGAAAGCTCTTTTTATGTTCTACAACTTTTATATTAAACTTTTTTTTTGAATATGTCCCGTTTTAGAGCATTTTTCAAAGTTTGTAGAGCCTTAGAAAAACAAGGCTTAAAAATTGTAATTCCGAAAGACCGAAGTGCAAGATGATAAAAATGCTTTTTCTTAGGTTTGAGGTTGTATGACTTCCGTCTTACTTTCGATATATCTATTTCCCATATGGTTTTTGGACTTTAGTAATGCAATTCGAACATCTTCATCCGATTCTAAATCAACAAAACATTCTCCAGATGATCGTCCATTTTTAGTTTTCAGCATATGAATACCATCGTCACCATCCAGTATATGACAAGCTAAATGAAAAGGAAAATCAATTTTTCTTGAACTCTGTGAATTACTCTGTGAAATACAAAGTATTGTCTGAATAATACGTTTCTCTTCGACAAGTTTATAGATTATTGATAAACTTACGTTTAAGAAATTTGTGAACATCATTTTTCGTTGCTGAATAAGGTAATCCTCTTAATTTTACTAAAAATCGACGACGAGATCTTGGAGATCGAGAACGAGTATTACGATCGCTACTCATTGTTATCTAAAACAATTATACAATTTGAAGAGGACAAATATCAAATAAAAAACAATAACAAAAAATCAAATAACAAGTTATAACATAAATTCTTATCTCATACACTAATATTTCAGTTTAAAGGGAACAGAAAACAATGAGTAAATGTTCATTTTTAAACTACAGATAATAACAAAACAGTAAACTGAACTGTTAGCGAACAAACTTTCCATATCATAAGAAACAAGTAGAATATTGGTCAGAGTGCAGAATTGTTCATTAATATCGAGAATAGAGTCTGTCATTCAATATTATTAGTATTTAGTCTTATCTTCTCTGTACATATTCTACTCACATCAACAAGTAAAACGTGAACAAAAACGTAAAAAGTGATATTGATGAAACGTTTTACGTTTCATCAATATTCTGAATGAAACATTTCAATGTCGATGTGATCTTTAGCATTTCATCAAAAATCTTCTTCGCTATTACTTAAGTTTGTCTTAATGTAATTTCAAGTTTAGTATTACCAAAGATCAATGCGGTTAAGCTATATTTGCTTTAGTCGATACGTACTTATTTTAAGTTCATGAACCTATGAATACTAATGAAACGACATAAGTTTGGGACAAATTCGTATGATGAATATTTGCTTCCCACAAAATGAAACAATGATAGTCTAATTGCTAGTGAAAGAAAATCAAGAGATACTGTGTGCAATATAAATAAACAATAGTCAAATATAAACAACTATGTCTCAGAAAAAACAAGTAAAAAAAAAATTGTTATTGATACATTGAATGATCACTATATTATAGCTTTTAAATAAATGCACTTGGAAAAACTCGACATTCTTATTGTATATACTTGACACAATTAATCAATATGACATATTTAACAAAAGTTGCTATGCGTCAGCCATCTTGAAACGTTTATTGGCTAAGTAAGGAACTGATATAAACTGGTTTCTCCTGCATAGACGACGAGTCGCCACAGAACACTTGAATTTTTTGAATATCAATATTTATCAATAATATAAAGTTTGAACCTTTATGATCATTACTAAAAACTGGAAGACTAGGATGAAATGGATTGTAGGCTAGACTTAGGATTGGTTGAAAAATTTCTTTTCGATGAATTATGTCTTCCATCCTTCCAGTTTTAAGTAAACGCCCAAAATTTGAGTCAACGTGATACTATGTCATGCAGTACCAATAAGATGTAGAATCTAGGTATATGCTACACCCATATTATAGTGCATATTACGAAATGCATTATGCCAAGCCTTGAAACAATGCATTTATGCAAATATTCATACTAGTAGTCAGCCCAGGTGATTTTTCTGCAACATAAATCTGGAAAAATCTTTGCAGATTCTGCAAAGGGATTCTGCAGATTTGAAGCAGATCTGCATTGCAGATGTGCCAAGATTTGACCAAAGATCTGATGCAGAT